AAAGCGTGTGTTGTTTTTGTTGTGTGTTGTCATGGCAGCCGAAGGAAACTGTGGTCACCCGCTGGCGTGCCGACCCCTGGGCGAGAGGATCCTACTCGTATGTAGCAGCAGGTTCTTCAGGCAATGACTATGACCTGATGGCGCAGCCCATCACGCCTGGCCCAGCAATACCAGGAGCCTCCCAGGTAAGTGCTCAGCAGACGGCTGCTTATTATTCAGGAGTGTGTGTGTGTGTGTGTGTGTGTGTGTGTGTGTGAGTGAGAGCGAGAAAGTAATGAGGAAAAGTTGCCCACAACATTCAACCAAACCAAAGCGGAGCGGTTCATTCCCAGCACAGATGTTTTTGGGCTGTTTTGATGTTGGCGTGCTGATTTGATGTGAACAAGTTGCATGTATGTGTTGACTGATGAGCCACAACAATTTACTACCACCCCCACCCTCCCAGTCCCGTCTACTTTTAACCGACTCTAACGGTGGAACATTTTAAAGCTTATCTCAAAGCGTTTTTTTTCTTTTGCAGCCTGTCCCTCGTCTCTTCTTCGCTGGTGAGCACACCATCAGAAACTATCCTGCTACAGTTCACGGGGCACTCCTCAGTGGTCTTCGAGAGGCCGGCCGCATCGCAGATCAGTTCCTCGGTGCCATGTACACACTTCCCAGACAAGCCACTCCCACTGGCACCAGCAACCCTCAGCAAACTCCGCCCACCGCCACCGTTTGAAAAACTTCTCTTGAGTTCCTCCCTACTCAGGACTGGATCTACTAAAACAATTGGTGATTAAAATGTAAAAACAAAACAAGGTTTAACCCATAAACTGGTGACATTTCTGGATTGGTCTTTTTACACACAAACTCTGGACAGCATCTAGTCACACACAGCAGGGACGGATGCATTCTCACTACAGGAAATGTTGTTTTTGGTGAGGGGTGGTGTCTGGGTAGAGCATCCAGCAGGCAGGACAGGTGACACCCACCTGCTGTGAATTCTCCCTTCACACTCTAGATAAATCTCTTGGTCAAAGCTCTGTAAGGTCTAAAGTCCCATTTAGACATGGATTGATAAATAACGATGGCATTCAAACTTAGGGCAAACCTTAATGTTCCTCACAGCTTCATTCAGGCAAAACCTACCAGGGTGATAGTGATTTGTGTCTGTGCCTGTCCACACAGACAGAAATGTCTCTTCTGTATTTGGAAATTGTGAAATTCCTTCAATTGCATTAGAAACAGCGTTAGGTACATGGTCATTATGTACATGCTATTTCTTTGTGGGATAGTCTCCACTGAGCTGATAAAATCACAAAGATGCAGGAGACACTTTCCCAGTAAGGATCTATCATAATAATCTTTCAGACTTAGTGAGATAGATGTCTATGACAGAGTTTTACAGAAAAGTGACCAGACATGTGCAGATGCCATCAGATTGATAGAAAGTAGTGGATAAAATAAAAGGGGGCTCATGAAAAACAATTAAATCCCCCAATAATTTTTGCTATTAGAATAAAATAATGAGACTTCTAGAGTTTTCTGGACATGCGTTTAATTAAGATTTTTTTGCCTTAGAGCATTTCTTCAGACATAGTTTGGCTCTTAAGAGGTCCCAGAAAAATGTGAAAATATGCAGATAGTACAACTACAAACTACTACCAGAATAGGACATGACCTACTACATAGACTGGGTTGCTAGGGAACCGTGAGGGAATTTTTTTGTTGTTGTTGTTGTTTTAGATTTGCCGGCATGGAATTACTTTCGGTACTTGGAGTGATTCGATGTGGAACTATCAGAGCCGAATGTCTTATTTATGTGTTCTTTTGTTCCTCCAGAAGACTTTTGTTTTTGTCTTGTCGTCTTAAAGCTTAACATGTTACTATATACTGTAACTGTGTGCCTGTTAAATTTCATTTGTTTAGGCTGGAAAGTGTATTGAAAAAGACTTGTATTACAAGTTAAAGAGAGCTATTCAAAGAATTAACTTTTTTGTTTATTGTGATCAACACTTTTTTTGTATTGTCAGTTTCTTTTATTAAAAGAAGAAAAGACGTATATTAAAGTCTCTTTTTTTTTTTTTTTTGGGAAAATCTGAGATTTAAATGTGTAAATTGTCAGATTTCAGGATTCATCCCCCCTTTTCTTGAGCTGCTACTACCTGCAACTGTGTCGTGATTGCGCTTTTACATTCATTTGCATATAACATGGCTGCATCTGCTTTGACCCTTCGGTGACCCTCCTCCATTGCAGGTCTGGCTGCCTCCCAGGGTCTGTGGTACTGTTTGTGTTTTTGAGAGAGAGATGAGGGTCCCTGGCAGCAGCTCCACATAGTGGGGGATCTGATGAATGAAGGGGGAGATTAAAATGGTCAGCCTTGAGCTATGAGGTTTTTTTCTGAAGTTTCAGGGCTCGGTGCCCCTCTGTTTCCATGCACTCTTGAGCGTCATGGGCCTTTTTTTTCCCCCTCCTCAGAGCTGTGGTTATTATTATCGTGACCAAAGGAGATGTTTGATGTAACAACAGTAATTTGAGCTGGGGTTTTGGACTGCTGCACTCAGATATTTTCACCTCCCTGGTAAACCATAGACTCAGAGCAGTGTGTAACTGTTGACTGGTGAGGTTATTTTTTATAATAGCCTGTAGCCCACATCAACTGATTGGTTTATAGAGAGGCAGAAAGTATTATAAAAGTCTGCAAGTAACTACAGCTCCATAGCCGCTGGGTGGAATGTGTGCTAATGCAGGTACAAAACCTCCCACGTGTTGTTCATCACATCTCTCCTTTAGTCTACTTTTATGACTAAATACCAATACAACAAATTATCTTCCCATCACTCATGGTTGTCTAAATTAAGTACAAAAGATAAATAAATAAAAATCACTCTAGTGCCACTTCTAAAACTTATATAATTCTGCACAATTGACCTCTGACCCTTTGCATGTTCACTCAGTAAACATCCCACTCGGTTTTCTTTTCACACCTGCTGTAATGTGTGATCTCTATCCTGCTTCACTCCTCCGCTCGCCTGAAGAGCCACTGAGTCATTTCTACGGCTGACTTCACAGCACTAATTCAGGTCAGCCATCAGAGCTGAGGCTCAGAAGTACCAGGGTCCAAACAGGCACCGCGGTGCTGCAGCACCTCCCATCCATCTGAATGTGGGGCAGATTAAAACCACAACAGCAGGTTAACCCATGACAACGAGTTTGATTCCTGCGGGTTTGCTAGATGTGAAACAGCTATTTGTCTCTTTATTCACATTGCAGAAGCAAAACCACAGGTGTGACTGACAATAGCAGTGACTCTATAACACTAGGACTATGAAACTGAATGGAAATAAGCAACTGTTACTATATTTTTTCAACTGTGACATGTCAAACATTTTAAAATATCTTCACGATTAACACCTACTCATTGGACACGTAAGGTACATCTCACCAGTACTTAACTGGTCCCCCTTTTTGATTTACTGGATGCACAGTCACCACATCCCAAAGGTGCATCTGAGTACAGTGAACTCATCAACACCTTCATGGTACATTATCCTGTTGGAAGCAGTCATCAGAAGATGTGTGCACTCTGGTCAGAGCTGGTAGGGCAGATTCCGATCCTATCATCTGTTTTTCCATGTAAACTGTAACCTCAGTTTTTTATTGTTAGCTGACAGGAATAGTAACCAGTGTGGTCCTCTGCATGCCCTTGTTGTAACGAGTAGCTGTAGAGTTACTGTTGCTTTCCCATCAGCTCAAAGATGTTTAACAACCCTCCTGTGTCATGTGATGCTACCATGTCAGCTGATGTTTGCATTACTAAGCAACTAAACCCAATGATGTGGCTGACAGAACAATTGAACCTTAAAGCAATATTACATAATCACCATCTATACAAATTGATGGGGTGTCAAACATAAGGCCAGGGTGCCAGAAATGGCCCCGCACACTCGATGGCTTTGGAAAATGTGAAGGAGGGCATAAATTTGGAACTTAACTGCACTTTCATAAACGTTCACAGCTTTTCCTCCCAATTAAAGGGATGCCCCATACACATTCATACTACACTAATGAGCATAATGAATAAATAAGCAATTATAAGAGAGAAAAAGTCCAGTTTTCACTATCTACTATAAAAGTGTATTTTTTTAAATTGAATTATATTATTATATATATATTATATTAATTCTTTAATACGGCAGCATATCATTGTCAGGTAGAAAAACTGAGATAATTGTTGAAATCACACTTTTTCTTCTTTTGCTAACATATTCTTATGCAGGGATTAAATGTGTAGTCACTTCTTTACATTGACAGAAATGGGACTTTCATTTATCTGAAGTGGGCTGTATGTGTACTGTGACGTAAAAGGAGTTTGATATCCCTGGTCTATGGTACATTATATGAGACATCTTTAGTTCAGTCCTGCACCTGAAAGCCTGGCAGCTCGACTGAACGTGTTGAGGCTTGTACTCTGGAGGTGCACAAAACTGGCACCATGCAGCTCAAGCTGGAAAAGGAATAGGAATTACAACTCCTCTGGGATTCAGCCAGTGTTACCCATGATTTCCAAAATAACTGAGACTCGGTCTTTTTATGGTAATCATCATAAAAAGAGTGACTTACTGAGTAAGACGGGGCTATTTCAAAGTAACCTACAGCTGCAGGAAAAGAAATGCTGGCTTTCACAAAGCAAGGCGTAGCTGTTTAAGAGAAAGATGTGTGTGCTGACTTTGCATTCCACAGCAGCCTGCGGTTTTCCCCCCTTTGTACCTGACCAATTTTGCCTCATTTGTCTCCCTGCTTATTTTGCATACCATCAGCTGCTGTTCTCTCCACTCCGTCTAAACCAGGATTCTCTCTTGCGCACACACACACACACACACACACGCACCACGCACGCACAAAATGGGTGTACCGCTATGAAATCAAAACTTGCTGAGCTTGTTGGACAAAGAACATAAAACGAAATTAACATACACGTTTGCATTTTTACACAGGTTCCAACACGGAGACGCTTTACAAACAGGTCGGTTTTTATTTTTATTGGAATACATATGGTCTGCTGTACAGCTTCAAGAGACCTACATGCAGAGTGCGCCAGCCACAGAAAGGTTAAAACATGCACAATGTATTAAGTTTAAATCGAAAAAAAAAAAAAAAAAAAAGCCTCCCCACACAGTACGCCTGGCATTGCTGACACAGAGAAGCAGTAATCAATCATAAAACAATTTTGATCTGATTTTAATTACATATACACGTCTGTGTTTGACACCTCTGTCTGTCAGTCTCCTTGTTCTGCACACACATTTATATACACTCATCTATTAATAAAACCCAAATAAACAAACAAATAAACGCCTCATTTGTACAGTTCAGAAATTCTTAGATGTGGATGAATCAGCGTTAAGAGAGTGAGAACATCCAGTTAAACAAATGTATTCTTTTAATTTGTTATCTGATTGTTCCTGTTAAGATTGTGTGTTTTCAATATATACACATGTCTGGGGACCTGCACCCTTCTTTCTTTGGCAGCACTTTCAAACATACAGCACAGAAGATGTACAAACCCTGAATTTATGAGCGAGAGGCTGGAGCAGTGAATGGTCCCCGATTTAAAAAGAAAACACGAAACACAAAAAGAGAAAAGGGGTCGACACGTGTTGAACCGCTCAACACCGGAGACCTGCTCAGCTCTGATAAAACGCACGTGACTCTCACTCTTCAAAGACCATCGCTCGACGCTGGCTTCTCGCTTTCTCTTTTTCCTCATCCACGGTGCGTCATCATGTCTCCAAGTTGTGAGAAACGTCTTGCATTAAAACTACCAAGCACAAAATACATGAAGAAGAACTCTCCAGGAGTGTGACAGAGAAAAAGGAGATACATTACCTCGAAAAACAAAAAAGTCTTTAAATCAAGATGGACAAATACTTTATATATTTCAGTAATAAGGCCCACTTTACAAAATTAGTTTTTCCTTAAATAAAATCTATCCAATATAGATTCCAAAATAAGACATCTTTTGTTTAACAAAGAGAAAAAAAAAATACATAAGAAGAGAGATGACAGAGAAAAGACAAACCTCACTTATATTTCCCCTTTATTTCAGAACCTTAAGAGACACCGTGTCCTCCTGGCGAAACTCTTGCACCATCTCTGTAAACTGTAAATACTGTGGAATGATTTTGGCACATTGTTAAAAGGCTGAGACGCAAACATGAGTTTTCACTGAGTGCATGCCAATTTCCTTTACCTGCTGAGATGATTCTTGAAAAGAAACAAATAATAAACCCTACATAACCAGCTGTGGTACATTCAGCAAACAGCTACGGACAATTTTGGGGGCACAGAAGAGAAAACGTCTTAACAATGGGGGACTTGAAGGGGGCATTAGTTGTTTAAGTGCTGGTTAAGTGCAGATTACAACCTGTGACACCCCAATGACACCATAACCCTGGCTTCACAATTGAGGCATTTGAGGACAAGGGCCTGCTAACATTCCTCAGATCTCCACTAAGTACGTTCTAGTCTACTTTTAAAAAAGGAAAAACAAAATAACAGATGTTTATAGATATACCAACACATCTAAAGAGGATTTCTATTAACTCCTTAGCTGGTATCCTAGCAGGAAAGCAGAAGCAGCCTCTTTTTGTTTTTAAACAGCAGCTATTACACCATTGCTGTAATTCAGTCCACATTCAACCATCAATCACAAATCAGAGGAGACATCAGGAAAAGAAAACAGCCCCGGAATCCTTAAAACCTGTGAAATTATCACTGCAGCTCCCCCAAAAACCAATTAGTACATTCCACCATATTAACACTGCACCAACTTTCATCGAAGCATTGAGTAAGACCTGTCGCCTGTGAGCAGTTGCATTTTGCACAATCACATAAGCGCACACAGATGCCACAGGTGGTCTTCATGCTGGCACAGAGTCCAGCTGAGTCTCACTGGATGGAGTGGATGTTCGATCGGGTTTAGCAGTAGCGTTTGGGAACATTGGGGCCTTAGAAGGAAGAAAGGTGGATCGCAGAGTTTCAACTTTGGCCTTTACCCAGCCCGGCTTGCTTTGAACCCGACCTTGAGGAGGGGAAACCTGCCATGCATCGTAAAACCTACAGTTTCTGACAGCTGGGACACCCCCACCCCAAACTCAAACACTCTTTAGGGAAAGAAAGGACGAGAAAGATTCAAAAGAAACAACTCACAGGTAGAGAAATGCTTCACAGTGGTGCTGCTTAGGGATCGGTGGTGGAGTATCACGTTGGATTGGAGGAAAACAGTAACAAGAACTTTATGGGCCATGAGGCAGGATAATGGGCAGTGGCTCAGGTGCTTGCATCACCATCCTGACCCACAAACGCCCTCCAGCCAACTCAGGGCTCTGCAGATGCCACTTGAGCTTTAAATGAGAACCCTCGCTGACATATCAACAACAGCAACAAACACACTAAGAGAAGAGCACGTGTATATCTGGGAGAAACGGACACTCGATACCCCCCCCTGGATGTTTTAATCATCATCAAGTGCACGTCACTGCCAAGCTGGCCATTTTTGATGCTCCTGTATTTAGAAGCGCTGAATCAAGATGTAGAGACAGGATTAGACCCAGACCTGACCTTTCACCTTTCAGCTACTCAGGGAACTGCCCATCATTTTCTGGTGACAGGCCTTAAATAAAACGAGCCTTTGCACAAGTAGCACACATCACTGCTGTTTAGGGCAAAGGTTTTCCTTTTAGGAAGTGAGAATCTAAGGAAAATACAGAGAAACAGAGGGAGGAGGAAGGGACACTTGATTTTTAGCAAAATCTTAAAAGGAAAGTTAAAATTGGTCGAAAAGATGAGAGACTGGGGACGAGAGGGCATTCTCTCTTGGTAAATGAGAAGTAGAACAATAACAGAGGGAGCACAGGAGGACTACATGATCATCATGTCTTGGCTTGTGCACTGAGAGCTCTAAATAGTGCATCTGGTCCGTTTTTGCGCCATCATAAAGCCGGCGGAGGCGGCTAGCCACAAAGCAAGCCTTTCAGGGGCAGAGCTGCACCCTGTGACTCTGACAGTCAAATCCACACAGCGGCGTGGCTCGTGTCCTTTAACAGGGTGCTTTGGAGGTGGGTTAGAAAAGAAGTTTTGGCGTTTTGTGCGGGAATCTTATTTCATCTTCGTTCAGGGAGGATTTCCCCTAAAAATAATTTTACAATGTCAACCAAAACTATTCTCAAATAAAAGAAAAATGCAATTAAATGCAAACGGAACAAATCAAAACCTTACATGTTTGTATTGCATGTTATTTATGTTTACTGCAAGTGTAAGGAAATGGTGCGTAGATGTGATTGCTGTAGATATTACTGCAAGAAGGTAAACATAATGGAAAGACAGACTGGTGAAAATGTGCATTCCTAAAGGTAAACTTTTAGTTTTAACCTAGCAAACTTCTCACTTACACAGTCATCACCTCTTTTTGTACATGGCTGAAATGGTTACAGATATTGCAGTGGGGGTGGGGGGGACAGTTTAATTGCATATAATCTCCTGCTTGCATAAACTGTAAAGTGACAAAGTGGCAACAGACAGAGGTCCTGCCATTAGGCAGATCTTTTCACAATAAAAGAATCTGCACATATGTGGAGACTAATAAATATTACAGCTTGATGGCGGCTGGTAGAATACAGGAGACCAAAAAACAAACAAACAAAAAAAATAAGTGAACCAGATCATCCCCAGCAGGGTCCGACAACACAGCATTAAAATCCACAACAGCAGAGGAGCCAGATGGAGAGCAGGCTTTTAAAAAGTCCCAAGTTCTTTCACAGATCCAGAACTTGGTCCAGAGTTGTCACAGTTATGGTTCTGTTTTTCTCTCTTTTTCCCCCCTCGTCTACAGTTTAACAGATGCGAGAGACAAAGAATGCAGTCGTGTTGGATCGGAGCATTAAGCCATCGAGCAATTGGTCATTCTCAGCTGCATTCCTCCTGAGCAACATTCATAAATTTTGTTCTAGGATTAAAAGTTTACATAGCCTGTCATTCTGCAGTCAATCTTCTGCAACAGTCTCAAGAACCTGCCGATGCCTGTTGATAGACTTTATGGAGAAACTTGAATACGTCAGCAGGGTTTCTGATGACCTCAGCAAAAAACCAAACAAAAAAAAAAACCCACCTCATTTTATTACTGGCCGGTGGCTAAATTGAATTCTACTGCACAGTCTCCGCCGTAGTGGCCCCTGCCAATGAGTGATTGCTCCAACATACCAACCCACCAGGTGTTGTTTATCGTCGTAACAAAATAATACACCTCTATAGAAATAAGAAAGAGAGACACTAGCACGATTCGCACGGCGAACCAAGTCACGTACAAGCAGGACTGTCACTTCCTGGTTAGAAGGCCAACGCCCTTGGGTCGTTCCTATGACTGGTGTGTACACAGTACTTATGGCAGCACTAAAAAAAAAAAAAAGTCCACCCTGCCAGGCCACGGTTGCTGGTAATCGAAAGTCCAAAGTTCAGTTCAAACAGAAACTCCATTTTTGCTATGGCTCTTTCAAAACACATGGATGAGGACAGTTGCAACAGCTGTAAAATACTGAACCATAGAAACTGTGTCATGGTTTGAGGTTATAAACAATGCCACCCCCCCATCCTCTTGTTTTTTATTTATTTATTTTTTCTTCTTGCATGTGCATTCCATTTCATTGCGCGCAGTCCACTTTCTTTTTTCAAATGACACGGTTGAGAAGAAAGCGAAAGGATGATGCAGAACAGGAAGCGAATTACAAAAGAATCAAAATAACAGAAAAACATAAACAAGGTCCTGGCCTGTGAAGACAAAAGAAAAAAGAAAAATGTGTCTGTGTGTACGTCTGTATTTGTATTTGTGTGTGTGTGCGTGCACCAAAAATCCAGCCAACCGGCAACCCTTTAAGCATGCTGAGTCACAATCTTTCAAGTGTTCTTCATTTATTACTTAGAAACATGCAAATCTTCATTCAGCATCTAAGACCTCAAATTAAATCCAGTTTGAGGTTACCGCGTGCTGGAAAGTCGGGATATGAGCTGAAATTAAACCGAAAGTTAAAAATGTGGATGTGTTTGCTTCTTGTTTTGTGGATACGTTTGCATGGCTTGTGTTTGGTGAAGGGGGGAAGGGATGGGATTAGATGAAGGTTTTCAGAAGGAAAAACGAGTCTGAAACAAGACCGAGGGTAATTCGCTTCCTGTTTTTGGTCACATTTAAAGTAGCGATTGTTTGGTTTTTATAGAGAATCCTACGGGAAAATCCAGCCCTGTGAGAGAGAAAGATGCACTGCTGTTGACTGAGGATTGGGTTTGTCTTTTCAGTGATGAAGAAAAGTTGAAATTCTGAAGCACAAGTGACATTTCCAGCTACTCTGAGGTTACTGTAACAAACTCTCTTGAGTCTATTTTCCTCCAACTCTGGCGCACAGGAAAATCTCCAGCCCTGCGCAGCGTGCCAGCCTCTCCCTTGTCAAGTTTCAGGATTACACTATAATACATCCAACACAAGAAGCAGAAGATAATACACTGGCCGGTGAGGAAACCTCCAAAAACACTGTACAGGCGCTGACCTTCCATGCACGGCTTTTTCTGGAACAGTTTTGAATAGGAAGAAGCGTCCATGTCTCAGCATACACTCATCATCAGGTCGGTGGTTTGTTGTTCAGTGTGGTTGCAAAACTGTTGTCTGCTGGAGGTGGTGGTGATCTATGTAGCCATGATTTGATGGGAAACTAGCACTTGGCCCTTATTTTGCAGTTGAGAGCTTAATGGAGTGCTGTTATGGGAGGGGGAAAAAATGAATAGAAAAGAGACATTTAATCCTTCATTTTTAACAAATGTTATCGTAACTATTCATCTTTGTTAGAAACATGACTGGTCTGTAATTTCCTTATAATTTTGTGGAAAGTTTGCCAGAAAGAACAAGATAATTTGCAAGCAATTATTGGGGAAAAATATTGAGACCGAGCTCATTGGTACACTTCCAATTTAAATCACAATTTTTAATTTCCAGTCTTTTAGTCTTTTACGGCAAATCAACTGTACATGTAAAATGTGAATATCATTAGTATGATGGAGGAATGAGGTCTCCAATCCTAAATGAAGTTACTGTATGCTTATCCGGGTTCAAAGTGAGCCTTTCTCTCATTTTCCATAATTTATCCCTAATTATGCAAGTCTTTCCAGAGGAAGTCACCAAAAAAAGCATATTTAAACTTGACTGCTTGAGAATTTTGCTGCAGCACAGTTTGTAAACTGCCTTGTGCAAAGATTTCATCACTGTCGCTATGACGATAATATATAAATAGGAGGAGAAAGCCCCTTTAGAGATGAGACGCTGTTCCAAAAGGGGTAATTAATAATTGTATATTTTAATTAACTATCAGGAGTTAAAAGAAAAGAAAATCCAGCCACCTCCTACCTGCCCACTTGCTTCAATCCTCCTCCTCACTTGGTCTAATGTTGCTCTGACTGACGCTGGCTCCACGGTCTGCCTCCCGCTCCGCTCCTCCCCTCAGCTCTGGCCCCTAAGCCTTGCCCCCGACTGGACCAGGGCTCCCCTCCTCTAGAGGAGGCTCCGGGTGTCCTGCTTATCCGATCGTAAGAGGTCCCCAGATCACTACTGGGTATCTGTCGTCTCCAAGAGGCTGGACTGTGACTTGGGTTTGGACTGGGGTCCAAGTTATCAGAAGCCTGGAAGAAAGAAATTACATTTAAAAACTGGCTGTTGTATTAACTGGCATCTGAAATAAGCGCTTTTCCAAGTTTAAGAGGAATAATTTGGATTTCTTTGCTGAAATTTAATGCCAAACTCTGGAGTTTGTCTATAGGAGCTCTGGGCATTTTGTGGGGCCTTGTTCGGACCTTTGTCTTATGCGGGCATTGACTACATGCCGTTAATGTTAACTGGTGTGTGACAAGTAAAGTCTGCCATGTGGATTTCTGCCAGGGGAAAAATCCCCAACCAAAAACCCCAAACATACCCCAAGCTGAGAGATTTATAATTTGGCGGGCTCACTAGAAAACAAACCCCAAGTTTCTAGTTTGTGGTGGATACAATGGCACGTCCCCTCTCATAACCTCAGTAACCCTTCTCTAAGAAAGCGAGAGTTGGATGACGATGCAGTTCTTAAAACACACAGAAACAGCACCCCACTCCTGTAATTTCAGTTTTTAAAAAAGCACCATAATTAGTGACATTTGGTGGGCTGGAGTTGGCTTCTGGTGCAGTTTTAGAAAGCATTCTTGCTAATTGGCTTTAATGGAGCCCTGCTGGTCTGCCTTTCACAGTCTCCTGGGGGAGACAGGAAATCAGTCACCAGTGAAGGCTGCCAAAGTGGGTGTGCTCAGTGTGGTCACTTCCTGCTACAGTCACTGTGGGAGGAAACCGTCAAGTGGCATATTCTCCTTCTATGGTAAGTTAATGCTCCAAGACTGGGAGTTTTCACGAACTTTCCTCGAAATGGATGTAGAGTTCCTCCTACACCCAACAGGAGGTTTGTACCGTACAACATATGGCAGTGGAATTAAAATAATGCTCGGTTAAATAAAACCCCCAACAAAACCCCCCAAATACACACACATTGCACAAAAGTGCTGCTCTTTAACCAGCTTTTATATGTCAAATGAACAAGCCACATACTCTAAGATATTAAGAAAATTAGTTTGGCTTTTGGGAAATAGTCTAATGTTTCACATATCTATGAAAAATATGAAGCCAGACTAAAAAAAAATAATGTTGAAACAGGTTTTTCTGGAGTCTTTGTCCACATCAAATTACACTTTTTGTACAGACTAAACCAGGAAATGTTGCAGTATTTTTGTGAGTTTTACGTTCCCAGGATTATTTATTTATTTCACCTTTTTCCACCCAGTAAATCCATCGAGATTTAATCAAAATTTCAAGGGAGAACTGGCCAGGAATGTCCTCATAACAAAGCCAGCATAGCTGTTTAACCTGCTTCAGCTTTTATCTGGGGCACTGACATGAGAATGGCTTCTCTCCCCGCTTCCAATTGAAGGAGCATCTTGGCCAAAATACTGAAATATGACTAATTGTGTCTGACTTTATAAATCCCTATGCAGCTCATCCATGTTGGAATTTCAAGAGAAAACAAGGAGGATGAATTTTGCTCTTTGATGAACTTATGGCCAACAGATTTGTGAAATAAATACAATAGTGCATTCGAGTTCTTCCAGATCAGCTTTTTCTATTTGTGGGTGCTTGTTTGCTGATGATTTGTTTCACAAGAGGTGGAACTTCTGACAATCTCACTGGTAATGATTTTAAAAATCAGGAGGACAGTTAACAGTGGATCAACTCTTGACTCCACACTTTACTGCCAGTAGAATATGTTCTGGTACCTTGCTCCTTGGCCAAACGTAAATTCACAGCTCATTCGAGTGCAGGCTGAAGTTTCCTACTGCTACAATGGGGTGGAAGTACTACAAAGACATTCTGTTCTTGCAGTCTAAGGTGTGGAGTGACTGCCACAGAAAACAAGCAACCCCTATTTAAATGCCGGCCTGTTAGGCAATTCAAATCAAGTGTGCTTGGAATGCAATGCAAGTGGCTGTGTATGTGTGAACGTGTGTGGTGGAGCTGTGGCACACACACAGCTTTCCCTGCTAGCATGCTTATTGTTAGCAGCAATGCTAACCATCAAGCCATCTGCTCATACTTGTAGAACAAAGGGTAACTGATGCCACTGCACAAATTTGAACATTATAGAAGCTCTAAAAGGATAAAAGATTGAATGAGTCTCGATAAATGCCATAACTACAAGCCAAAGCAGTTGATAGTTTAGCCACGTTGCTAAAGTGTTGGTTCAGATAAACTAGATATGACCATGACCTTTCACTGGAGGAAAAGATGTCCGTCTGTCTCTATTATAAATAACCTCTAGATAATTTATACATGAGGTTCAAAAGTGAAAGCTAATCAATAAGCTATCAGTCTGCCCAGGGTGCTAAGGGTACTTATAGGAATTGGGAGTGTTTTCTCCTCCTTAATGCCTATTGATCAATATGTCCTCACTGGTCCACAGAAAGCTGATTTTCAGTCTGCTCTCCTTCCATCACTGGGGCATGAAAGATAGTCACAAAAATCTGATGTTTAAATCTCTAGAAGAAAAACAAGATTTTTTTAAATGTTCTTCATTCATCATTTTAAGGTTCAAAGACAATTTTACAAGGAGCAAACATGTCAAACAAAAACAAACGCAGACTTTGATGAATCAAGAGGAACAAAGATGCCCACCCAGCTGAATAACAACTGATGGGGTGTCAGTTAATGATGTTGAGAGCGGCTCCGTCTGCAACCTTGTAATAACACAACCCTCTTTTATCAACCTCTGACACTGCAAACACAGACTAATCCCAACCTTCCACTGTCCTAAGTACAGCTGTATTTATCCAAGCCTCTTGGGAACGGACACAGTTCAGACCGCTGAAATATTCTACAAATCCAAACCAAAGACGATCGGCTTTGCTCCAAGACACACTTCAAAGCCCAGTTTTGTTTTTGAACAAACTTATTTTTTATTGCACTGGGGTAATTTCTGCACATAATTGCTATCCAAATCGAGTGACCAGTTCATGCATGAAATGTCATGATGAACAAGGTTCTACCGCAGAGTCGAATGAGTGGATTCGGGAAATACCCACAATAAAATTAAAAAGTGCACGAGTGCCAAAAAAATGAACAGGGGGACGGTGGTTTAACAGTTCACAGCTGATCTTAAACAACGAAGACGGGACTTGTTCGATGGTTCCGGGTTCCCGGACCACAAAGCATCAGTGATGTGGGACAGGAGGCTTATCTTAAGTAGTTGTGGTTGTGAAATTGCAAAGCTAAGGTCGAGGCCGAGTGGCACTGAGTGGGCACTGCCTGATCGGAGCATTAAAAAATATAAAACTCAAGGTTATTTTGTTAATGCCAGGGTTTTATGATAAAGAAAGAGAGCAAGGCCCTTCACACTTTTTCTACCGGTCTGCTAAATATCACTGATAAAAGGGGGCATTTGAGGGTTGGAGCTCAGTGTTGGGTAGATTTCATTAAGCCCATTGATGATAATGACTGGGGAGGAGTCCTGCAGGCAATTATAGCTCCAAGGCCATGCTAGCTGTATTGTTTTTATACCACGCTTGATTCAGAGGAGAGACTCCAGCTTAATGTTCCAGTGTCTGAGCCTGCTTTCCCTGCTTTGAATAAAGTTAACCTATATACTATAGTATGTGTATGTAGTAGTGCGGATATGTAAGTAAAGACTAAGATTCGAGCCACTGCAGGCTCATTTTCCTACAAAAGAAATTAAGACATGTTGATAAACAATCAGCTGTTTGAGATCTAAAACTGCAAAAATGCTTGGATAAGACAGGGAATGCCATGTCCCAGAGAATGTTACCCATGCTACACTCTGAGAAGACAAGGCTCAGGTCAGACTCTATCAAACGAGCACCAAAATCAAGGGATTTGTGGAGACGTGCCGAAGTTGTGCCTAGCGACCTAGTTGTAACGCAATTTGGGCGATCGTGGCTCAAGAGTTGGGCGTTCGCCTTGTAATCGGAAGGTTGCCGGTTCGAGCCCCGGCTTGGACAGTCTCGGTCGTTGTGTCCTTGGGCAAGACACTTCACCCGTTGCCTACTGGTGGTGGTCAGAGGGCCCGGTGGCGCCAGTGTCCGGCAGCCTCGCCTCTGTCAGTGCGCCCCAGGGTGGCTGTGGCTACAATGTAGCTTGCCATCACCAGTGTGTGAATGTGTGTGTGAATGGGTGGATGACTGGATATGTAAAGCGCTTTGGGGTCCTTAGGGACTAGTAAAGCGCTATATAAATACAGGCCATTTACCATTTACCAATTACAGCGGTCTGTCTCTCTACTGAGCACTGACAAGGATAGGAGTGAATTGAATGACAAAGGAGGGAGAAATACGCTGTATCCACAGAAAAAGCCACTAGAAGAGGAGTTGAAGAGGGGAGATCCTTGGCTTGCTCCAGGGATTCATGCTGATCAACCCCAGCTAGATGGTTATGATGCTAAAAGACCCAAAACCCCAGATTTCCCCTGACACGTTACTGAAAATGAATGACAGCGATCCATGACGATGTATTTATAAATCGCAGCATCACTACATACAAAATACACATGTTAACACTGTGACCCAGTGATAGGTTTTTACGTCATTCTTCGATGTGTGAAATATTCACACTCCATTTTTTATGATCTCACATACATGATATCACAATATAATCACAATGGCCCACATATCAAAATGTAATATGTGAGGCTAACAGTGGAAAAGTTTGCCACACCTAAATTTTTTTTTTAAATTAAGCTCTTATAAACAGTGACAACATACTATGTACAAAATAAAGTCATAAAATAACGTCGCAGACCTTAACAGACACCTTTGCTTATTACATGGTGTCTTCCAGAATAGCAAACCGAGTCTCTCACTGATGTGGTAGCACATTCACATAGGAGAAAGCTATTTTCTTCTCCTTGAGGTTTTTCTAACCTACTTTTCCCCCTGTTGAGGTCTTTTTCATTTCCATCCTCACTACTTTCTGTCCCACCCTTTTCTCTTTGTGCTTACTGGGGCAGCAGGAGTGGGGCCTGCAGAACTGCTGTGCTAAGCTTGAAGTCACGGAGCCTGGCGTCAGGGAAAAATACCAGCTGAGCTCTAATGCAAAGTTGACACACCAGGAGCTAAGGCCTGCAGCTGCACTTTGTGTGGAGTCTTTATCTTCATGCTAAAACTATTTGCAGAGAACAATACTCTAAGCCCAATACCAACTTTATTAATCGAGTATCACCAATTCATTTTTTTAAAATTTGCAAATGCTTGAGAAATGTACCAAGAAAACAGACTCAAGGAACATTAAGCATATTTCAAAGCAGAACAAAAATGAAAATAAAGTTGCATCCAATAGCCACGTGTGTTTTATATCATATCTGATAAAAACAAAAGCCTATAAAAACTGAATCTACTACAGGAAAGTGTTAACAACCTGAAGTCAGTTTCCCTTACCGGTGGCTGCTGTGAATATGATCGGCTCCAGGACTGAGAGGTAACGGGTGCATGGGGTATGGCCCTTCCCAACCCTCCTGTTTCCATAGGGGGAGACTGAGAGATCTTACGCATGTACACCTGGGACAAAGAGAAAATTCCCTCTATTATTTTTTTCCTTTTCTGTTTTGTGTGTGAAATTACTTTGATATACACTTATTACTTCCCCCACCTCAGCAGGGGACGGCTTGGCTCCCTTCTGTGCTGCAGCATTTCCGCCGCCTCCGTTTCCACTGTTTACAGAGTCCTCTGTGTCAAAGGTGGTTGCCCTGTAAGCCCTCCACGTTGTTGCAGTTTCGGTTTCATCTTCAGACCCGCCATCTGTCATTGCTCTTGTACTCCTTCCTCGACTTCCCTCGTCCACAGACATGGCGCTTTTGTTCCTCCAGGGGCTTCTCACGGTCACATTCTTCATATCTGGCAAACTGTCTTCGTGTGACGGTTGGCTTTGCCGTTGGCTTCTCCAGCTGGTGACGGTGGTCGTGCTGCTGCTGCTGCTGCTCTCAAATCCTGATTCTGTGTCGTTGAAGTCTGAAGAAGTGACGTCCGGGGACTGGAGGCTAAAGTTGCTGCGCTGGCAGCACAGGTGGCTGGTGGTGGTCTCCACCCTGGAAGAGTTGTGGAGTTTAGACCTTGATGATGAACCACTGTGGCTGTGTGGCCCACAGTCCTGGTCCTGGCATGGCCGCAAAGTGATCTCACTCTTAGGTATGGAGATCTCATATGGGACGGAAATACTGCCATGATGGTCAGTGTTTGGGCCTGGCAATATAAATACAATGATACATTTATACAGATGCAACAAGTTGACAGTAATGCAATGTGCTTTAAAATATCAGTTTTTGGGGGGGTGCAAAATTAATCTCGGTTTGGCTCAGGACAAAAACAAATGACATCCTATCAGCTTAAGTTTGTGTTTAATGCTTGTTAGCAAATATTAAATGGTAAACGGTAAATATTACCCTGTCACTAGGCTCTCTTTTCTTTCCCCTCATCTGTAACCAGTCAAGGCAGGTGGCTGCCTATTCCTGAGCCTTGTGGCTCAGGGGGTGGGGGGGATTGTTGGGATTTTCTGAGTTGAACTGAATAAAGATGATCATCTCAGGGAACACAATTTCATTCTGCGGAGAGACAGATGGTTCTGCCGCCAACACGACTAGGGGTTAATTACATTAAAACACCCAACCTTACAGAAGACAAAAGCACATCTACAGACTGCTACAAAAAAACCCTTTACTGAGGTTTAATGTTGGGGAAGCAGATGCTGATGACTGATAGGTGTTCACCATGCACCACTTTCTGGACATATAATAATGGGGCTTGTAGCATGTTTAATTACCCTAACAGCCTGTCCAAAAAGTGTGCTACAGTTTTGTGAGTGCTGCAAGTTGTGAGCACTAATTAGAAGGTTTCTAGTGACAACAAATAAAATGTTGTCTCTACTGTACTATTTAGAATTAGTATCTAGATCCTGTCCTGAAAAATGCAGTATAAGTTTAACTAGATCGTTCTAAATTGTTGACACGTACCTATAACGATGTTACTGGTAGATGTGTGGCGTTCTTTAATAGGCGCAGGTTCACTGGACACACTGCTGCTGCGACTGCTGGTTCTGGAAGAGCTTGGATCATTTGGGTAGATGGTTATACTACTGGTGATTTTATTGGTAGTAGTCACTATTGGTTTGGTCGAGATCTTGGGTTTCCCATTTGTAGGCAAGGGTTCTGAAATCATTACTTCCTTTCTGTCAATTTCCACAATAGCAGGCTTGATCACAGCTCTTGACCTCAGTGCCTCTCTAGGACTGCATACTCGTTGGATTTCAATCCCTGCTGGAGTATGCATGGATCCCTGGTGACCTCCCTCAGCTCCCTGTGACCGGCTGTGCAGCTCCTCATCAAAAGAGCTCCTGGAGGAGGAACCCTCTGAATGCGAGTCTTGGACTTGAGGGTATCTAGAATACCTGGAGGTTACAGTCCTACTGCTTACAGCTGTGCTAGTTGCCTCAGCTGCTTCAGCTGTAGGGTCCAGCTCAGATGGCCTTGATCCAGTAGATTCTGTTTCTGAGGCAGAAGAATGACCCTCTGACCCCTGGTCATTGGGCAGCAAGGGATTGATGTGAGATCTGTAGGCTGTGTATGAGCCATTGGCTTTGGATATAGTAGAAATAGAAGAAGATACAGATTCCTGAATCTGGTCTGTTGATTCCTGATCGGAGACAGGCACCGTTTCCTTCTCTAGAGCAGAGATGCTGTTCATGGTACTGGAGGTACTGTCAGGCACGACATCAGAGCTGTTAGATTCACTGTCACTACCTACGTACAGTTTTGAGAACTTTTCTCTGCTCTTCTTGATGTCATCTGTATGCTTGTGAGCTGTCCTTAGTGGCTTCTGGTCATTAGCTGCTGGAGGGTATCGACTAAGGACGGACACCTTCTTGGTATCACTAGAAGTTGTATTCACAGAGCTGTATGTGGCTCCTCTTGGCTTTTCCTCAGCTCCTCGCACTGTATCTCGTATTCCATTATCAGATGAATTTGTGGTAGCTGTAGTTCTGGGTGTCCTTCTCTTTTGGGCAGGACTCAGGGCTCTTCTCATTGACTTGGGAGAACCCTTCTCAGAGTTGCTGAAATCTTTGTTCCAAGATTTATGCTGAGGAGATAAATCTTTGTTCCTATGTTTTGGGGAACTTGGCTCTGGGACAGTTGCTGCACTTCTATATTTAGGCTTTTCTTGTCTAAACCCTCCCTTCAGGATAGTCTCTTCATTTTCAACTTTGCCATTTTCAATGACCTTAGCAGTGCTGCTTCCATTGCCGTGTTTATCCAAGTTACCAATTCCATTTCCTCCGATTCCGCCTTTTCCACACAATTGCATCCTGAGGTGTTCCACCTGCTCATTTAACTTTCGAACTCGGTCCCTTTCTATCTGGAACTTTTCGTGAAGCTCACCATTTTTGGACTCAGAGTTCTTCAAATCCTCTTCCACAATCTCCAACTGCTTAAGGCGGTTCTTCAGTCGTTCTACCTCCTGTGTCAACTCCTTTACTTTGTTGTCCTCCTGCGAGCCTTCAAGACCGCTGTTTTTCTCATTCTCAGACAACTTTGAGTAGTCAAGGCTCTTCTTCCGTCCAGCCAGCTTACTTGTTAAGAGCGCTGTGGATGTTAGCTCATCTTCAATTCTTGAGCTCATGAAATCTGCTCTGCCAGAATCCGTTGACAGGCCAAAGCGATTCTTCTGGTGCGCCAGCTTTTCTTCCAACTTCAGAATGGTCTTCTCATCCTCTCTTTGTTTCTCTAGCAGCCTCTTACGCTCATTCACAAAGGTTTGGGTGAATCCCTTGAGCTTTTCAAGCTCCATAGCCAAGGCCTGCTCCGTTCTCTCCAGCTTTGTCTCAGACCCCTCCACCTCTTTCAAACGGGCTTTTAGTGTCTCCAACTCAGATGAGAGCTTCTTGGTTAAGTTCTTCTCCTCATTGAGGCTAAGGCAGAGCTGGCTGCAGTCAGACTTGCTTTTCCCAAAAGCTTCTTCCAGTTTCTCGAGTTCAGCCATCCGTCGCTGAAGACGTTCTATTTCTGCCTTTAGCTCTTTCGTAAGGTTTTCCTCCTCTTCCAGTTTCTCTCTGACTGTGCGGCAAAGATCCTCAGCTTTACGTACCTCCTCATCTTTCCCCTGAATCTTCAAGAGACGTTTTCTCAGGGCTTCCACATCACCAAGCAGGGACGAGTTACTTCCCTCTGCCTGGATAATTTTGTCCTGCAGAGGAGAGAGTACAACAGTTCTTTTCATGTACTGCGTTTCTTTTTCACTTCAGTCATTCTTTTGAGATGCACAAACACACACAACCCTCCCCACACTGTCACAACAACTTACCTGTAGGTCAAGAAGCTCATCCTCAGACTTCTGTAGCTTGTTTGTTGCTTCTTCCAGTTCATCAAGTCTTCGGCCAAGACTCTGCAGCTTGTGCTTCAGGTGGCGATGGGTCATGTCTTTATGATCTGACATGGTTCCAGATTTCTTTCTATTGTATCGACCAAGTTTCTATGTTGTCCAGATTATCTGATGAAAATCTGTTGGGGAGTCCACATCTGTGCCGTTGTGCTACCAAGTTCTTTAGGCTGTCAAGGAAAAGCTCCTTTTTCTTGTTAGGCTGTTCTGATTCGTTTTGCCACCGTCTCTTTAAGACTTCAAAATTCCCTCAGTGGTTTTCAGCAGACAAATCTGTCATCTGTAGGAGGCACAGAGAGAACACTTAGTCATCTATAATTTCACAATGACAACCATTTGTATTCTCAAAAGTAACACAGTAAGTACAGGAAGTAAGTCAGAGAACATAGAAATTAGCTCACTGAACCATGTGCCACACGCACACGGAGACCATATAAGGACAGGCCACACACAA